CTGCCGGGGGAAGCCGGCGAAGCGGGGCCGCTAATAAGCCGAACTGCTGGCGAACTAAATAAACAAGTCTGAGTGCTCCGTATCACGTTCTCCGGAAGGAGGCTGGGGGCAGAGGAGAAGGAACGCTTCGGGCTGGGCCGGGCCGGGCCGGGTCGGAGCGGTGCGGAGCGCCGCCGCCGCCTCGCCGCCGCCGCCGCCTCGCCGCCGCCGCCTCCACTGCCGCCGCCAGCGGCTTAACGGATGCGCATACATCCTGTGGTGACGCGCGTCTCGCAAAGGTAGGACGTGTGTCGAGAACGCTACCGCGACGCCCTCCCCCCAGCCACTGCTCCTCCCCCCGTGGCCCGGCCTACCATCGCCCCACCCCTACCTTTCCGCCTTCAACCCAGCCCACTGGCGACGGCTTCTCGATCCTGCCTCTCGCCTGCTGGTGTACGTCGGTCTTCTCCCGTGGGCCTCATGCTGCCTTTATGCCGTTCGTGATCAAGGACACTTTCATCTATCTCGTCGCAAACCTTTATCAATTTGCACTCTTTTTCGTAAAGTTTTTCACGTGTTCAACTACAGACTGGACAAGTTCTTGACGCTTTCCACGTGTCACCCTTCGGTTACAACCTCTACTTACCAACACTCATCTCTTTACCACGTTTTCTCCCTCTGCCTTCATCCTCAAGCTTTTATTTGTATCTTACCTGCCGTTATCTTGCCATTCTCTGTCATACCTGATGTCTTTGTGCTTTACCAGTTCATAGATTCTCAATCCGTTGGGCATCTCCATATCGGAATAACGATGGATCCACCCTCCCTCTTAATCCTTTTTGGTCATAATCTTTTGCAATTTGCTTGTTTGCTGTCTTGTTTCTCATGTTTCGCCTTACGCCATTCCACGCCTCCTATTTTCATCGCTGTTGCCGCTGCTCGTGTGGGAAGTCTTCCGCCTCCTGCCGCCCGTGTACGTCCGCCACCCCCCGCCGGCCCTCTACTTAAAGCTCTCCGCCCCCTCGGCTTGCGTGTGCTCCCAACCAGCGCGTGCGCCCGCGCTATCTCTGATGGATGGCGCAGCGTTCTTGCAAACTGAAAACCACCGCCACCTCCGCAGTCGCCTCCGCTTCCTGCCTCTGCCTCCGCTCCGCCCTCCGCCTCCGCCTCCGCCCTTCGCCTCCGCTCCCGCCGGCTCCCCGCGGCCGCCTCCCTTTCCACCCGCCCCGCTCCGCTCGCGCGCGTGCCGAGCCGCGCCTCTACGCCGCCGCCACCTCCTTCCCCTTACGTAAACAGCAGCATTGTCATTTGTTCCGGAAAGATGACAATGGACTGATGCTAATTAATCCTTGAAGCTAAGCATGTAACATTCAGAGTAATGCTTGTAAATGGAGGCGATACACTGCACGCTACCCACTGCTACCATCGTCGCCCGCCGCCCCGCGTCGCGACGCGCCGCTCTACACGCGCGCCGCCTGGCGTTCCCAGGGCCCGCCCCGCCCTCCCCGCCCCGCCCCGGCCCCGGCCACCTCTTTCCAGAAGGCGGCGTCTTCCCTTCGCCGGTGCGGTGCCGCGTTCGCGAAACGTGCTGTCTGAAGTAGTGCCCGGCGGACAATTCATTACAGGGCAACATAGGTGTCGGGGGCGCCCAACCGGCGCCTGGCGGGGAGTGCGGAAGTCCCGGGGCCGGGCGGCGGCAGCGCGGCGGAGGCAGAGGCGGGACGAGGTAGGGCTGCGGGAGGCTTTGGGGTTCACCGGGGACGTGGCAGGAGGCGGCAGCGGCGGCGGCAGCGCCAGAGTTTCTGAAACAAAATGGCCGTGTTCTGTAACTCCTACCGTGGAGTTTGATTCTCCACAAAATGGAACGCTGTGTGTCTGAGTTTAAATGGAACGCGTTTCGGGCTTGCCGTGGGAAGCTATTTTGCTGGGAGGAAACTCCTCATAAACGAGGCTCCGTACAGGGAGATGGCCCCCGCCCCTCGCAGTCTGAGGCGGAGCTCTCCGGAGGTGCGCAGTTCCTCCAAAGTTTTTGTTTGTGCGCAGAGGACTCCGTTTTTACTCTCCATGTCCCGGAATTCTCAGCCTTGTTTAGGATTCTGCAGATGTATTCATGAGGCCGGAGATATTTGTGTCTCATCCTTTTGTATGTACGCTTGCATATTCTATTTTGTTAACTTCGTCCACAAGACATCTAGTTACCTCTCATGGCGAATTTCACTGTATTTTCCGTATGCGATGTAATGATTTCATCCCATAAATTAATTTGTTTGATTCCATACACATATTACCATAATAAATACACGCTTCTTTGTTTGCTCTGCAGATTGTTTAGTGTTAGTTCGTTTATAATAGTCTTCTATTCTGACGCTTGTCCAAGAAAATTATATTATTTTAACGACGTATGTTTCAAATTTCAAAAAATATTTTGTGATACAGGAACTTTTTTCAGATGGTTTGTTAATGAAACATTACGTTGCACTATGTGTGTTAAGACAAATATACTTAGTAGAGGGTAGAGTGAAGAGTGATGTTTATTTTTGTTTACGTTATAATAGAGGCGTTTACAGCATGGAAACATTGTCTAAAATGAACGTTTCGCTAACACTTGCGCGGGGGTCCAATTTCTTTTGGACTACATTGCACTCTTTTTGCTCTCACATATTACTAAGAGGTCTTTATGTCGTCTCTTGTGTGATCTCTCCTTTCCCCCAAAGCTACTGAGCTACTGCATGCGATATTTCATTTACGCAACTCTTACTCTGGCAAGAAAGGGTATAAAGTAAATAATTCACAATTTACAAAACAATACACCAGATATTTATTAAATTAATGGTACAATCAAAATATTGTAGTGTGAAGGTTTCTCTCAATTGATAAGTTTGTTTATTCAGAAGAGGTTTACTCTAACAAGTTGCAAAAATGTTGACTTTAATTTCTCTTTCACGACGAGCTGTTATTTCATTTATGTATTCAAAGGATTTAATTAAAATTCTCTATTTTCTTCAACGTGGTTTTTGGAGACAAACGCTCAGGTACGATCTTCTTAAATTTTCTGTTGATTTCTCCTGCAAAATCAATTTGAAATAAACACGATAAGAAAAGTAGGAAATGTATAAAGCTAGCATAGCGATGACTTATAAAATTCGTTCGGTTGTTCTTCCATTGCGAATAATTTGAAGAAATAAACGTTCCTGATATGATATTTCAGAAGCGCTCCCTCCAAAGGAATTAGGCGTTTTCAGAGTACATTAAAAGAACTGTTGGTTTTAGAATATAGAGGTTCACGAAGAACTTTCACTTTTTTGTCCCCCCTAATGAATGAGGACAAATCCGTATGAACCCAAAATTCAAACACATCTACTTATAAAGACGGGGACGTCTCGTGCGAGACAGGGCTTCTTTGCTTCTTCTGGCCCCAGGCAGCAAAATCCGAGCGGGTCTCCGGATTTGTTGCTGAGGCCGCAGATTCGGGGCTCCCCGAAAGAGCAGTCTCGGCGGAAGGCTGCGGAGAATAACGTGCGTACAGAAGTCAAATGTTGATGCCGTAACTACAGTAAAATAATTGGATCGCCCGTGCTGCGCGGCCTCGGGGATGCTGGGCCTCCCACGCCGCCGCCGCCGCCTCCGCCCTCCGCACGAGGTGAGGCCAGCGCCGGGTCTTCCGCCGCCGCCACCGTCGCCGCCGCCGCCGCCGCCGCGCACTGCCGGGGCCGAAGGCTCCGTGATGGGGTGCCGCGCGGGCGGGCGGGTGCGGACGCTCCTGGAGGGCGGGACTTGGGTTCCGCGAGTGGGGTTGAAAGGGAGAAGCACGGCGCGGAGGCGGGACCGTGCAAAGCTAGGGAGGCTTACATAAGAAACGACGTCGACCGGCTCAACGCGGTGTGGGAAGCGGAAGAAGGGCGTTGGAGGGGGCGGGCAGGGAAATAAGGTGATAGGGGAGGGGGAAGTGGAAGTTCGGAAAATGGGAGACGCATAGGCGCCTTCCGGCGCACGGCGTCGTCGTCGTCATCGTCGTCGTCGTCGTCGTTTTCTGTTGGCTTTCCCGGAAAAAGGAAAAGAAAGCTTTTCACGACACGCCCCTATTGCTATTTCTAACCAATGGGAATAGGGGACGTAGTAGGAAGACAGCCCCCCTTTTTCTTCTCTCTTCCTCTCTCTCGTTATATTTTGGTTCTGCTTTTCCTTTCCCGGGTATCATCAAAACTCCAATATGGCCGCCACCCACCTTCAGGGACCTCAGAAGCGCTGAGCGAAGGAAGAAAGAGAAGGTGGTAGTAGAAAAGGCCCTCTCAGCTTCAGTGGGATATTACTCCGCAACTAAAGGACCTTGTTTTATAGCGTTTTTTGTTCTCTGTTTGCAGGGAATTTCCAAAGCGTTCCTTGCAATCAAGCGTTAACGTTCTCTGCACCATGTCGTAAGAGAGAATTCCACTTCAAATTAGTTCTCTTTGTATTCTGCATTGTACCATTTCTGTGAAACGTGTCTTAAGTTTGGAAAATACCATTAATCTTTGAGATAATAATTATAATCTTGGTGTGTATATTACTCATGTGCTACTTCACGTAAGACTGGGCTCATTGGACATAATAAAAATAGTTTATGATGATAATATTTCTTTAATATTAAACAATGAATGCAAATGTGTGTTGGATGATCTCAGGTTTACTGTATATATTGTAATTGATGTAGAACTAGTTTAAATATTACCAGGTATAAAAATGAAACCACTGCATTAGAATGCTGTTCATCAAACAATCATTATTCTTCATAAGATTTTCAAATGATCTTGATGTTAGTTTGTTTAATATGAAGGGGAAATTATATAATTTTCAATTTTTATATTGGTATAATGTTTTTATTTGTAATGTTCAATTAAAATTTTAAGTAATTAAGAATATTGGTATATGAAAATCTAAAATAATTATATCATTTTATTTTGTTACATTCGATGAGTGAAACATTCTTTACTATCTATTTACGAGCTAACTAACGACCCCCAACGCGATCAGGTTTTCGTCCAGTTTCCCTGATCCTTGAGCAAATGCGAAGATGGCTCCTTGTTTTGCTTCTGGACATAAATGTAACTTCAATTCAGCTTCTCCTCATAGCACGTCACACGCAGTTTTGAACGGTTTTTGGCGTTAATAAATAATAATAAATAAAATAACTTTTATGCCGTCATTTTCTGTTATGCTGATAAACATGCTTTATTTCTTTGGTAAAATCATGATGAAACGTTATATTTTCCCAGCTTCACCACTTCTTTCAGACAGGTTTTCAACAGTTCTCAAAACTTGGCAATGGTTGTCATGAGAGGCTCCGTTTCTGAAACAGTAAAAATATTTCTAATTATAAGAGGTGTTTAATATTTTTCCTCGGGGATAATAAATATTATAGTAAACTATGATTATATATTTCATTTGAATATTTGTGGCTTCACTGGCAAATTGATTAATTTGTGACAAAATTGTTCGTGCGGTCCAAAAACAAAACATGAAAATACATAACTCGAACTCCGATAACTTAAGTTTATCAAGATTTTCATTTTTTTAAATTTCCTTTCACCTTATTTTGTGTTAATAAATCCTTGCAAGTAAAATTTTACATAAAGATAGCTTCGTTATTTTGATTTTTTTTCCTTTTTTACGTATGTTTGAACCAAATAACGCTTTTTTTGTCACTGATCGAAATGTGCCAAGATCAGCTCTATTAACTATACTGTCAATCTGGACCTATCGGTGTCAGTATGTCCGTCTGTCTGCGCCTATATCTATGTCCGTCTGTTCGTGTGTATTTCAATGCCCGTCCTTTCGCGTCTGAATGCCCGTCTGACTGCGACGTATGTCCGCCCGCCTGTATATCAATCTGTCTGTGAAAAACACTATCGCCCAAACTGTTCCCAGTACTTGTCACGAAATGGTTATTCCCAGATCGATCTGACCGAAATCAAGACCCTACGAATTTCAGACGTGACTTTCAGATTTTGAAGTATTAAGTCCTGTGAAAATATTGAAAATGCACCAAAGTGGGTTCATTTTTGTTGGTTGAATAGGGCAAAATACAAAAATTCAATTTTTTACCCTGTCCTATAAGTATATAATTGAAACCAGAGATTTTTTAAAGAAATATATTCTTCAAAATAAGATCTGATTTTGTACTCAAATTTAAAAATATTATTGTTTTTTCGAGTGCTTTGATAGAGCGTAACAATTTTCGAAAATACTGAAGATTTGTTCAAAAATGGTTTCAAATTTTTTCTTCAAGCTTTTTGTAAGTGTTGGGCACTTTTTTTCATTTATTTGCCACCACAGTTGTTTTCATTGAAACGTTTACATTTTCAAAAATTAAATACATATCTTGTTTTAAATCTCCTGTGTGTCGTTTGGTGAGAGATTTTCATGAGATTGCTGCAAAATTACTTGGATACAAGTTGTAGTATCATAATATTATGTACTAACCGTAATGATAACCAAATAATTAGAGAAAATACCTGCTGTTACAAACCATGTGCTGTTTGCACCAATTATTTTGTATTTTATTCGCAAAATGTGAATGTAAGTTTTTTACTAACATTATTGCTATAATATCATCAATGAAACATTTAGCGAGAGATAAATAAACGTATATGTTAGGGTGTAATTTTCATCTATTTAAATTCATCTATTGCGTATTACTCTAAAAGTTCTGTCGAAATGATGGACATGATGTCAGAACAACAAGTAAATTAAATTTTTATTTGCGTATCATCTTATTTTTATTAATACTATTTTCATTAATTAACACACTGACCCCAAGCAGAAATCAGAGACTTCTGTTCCTGGAATGTGAAGCAGTTCTGCTAACCACGAATCTGTCCCAGTCGGTCACGTATGAAAGTAAGCCATTTGCATAGCTTGAATTTTGCGCAGTTGAGTACAAAGTGCGGGGCGCAGCATCGCGAGGGGCGGCGTCCCTTAAGAACGCGTCCCGACGGCGTCGTCCTGCAGCTGGACGGAACGGCGCGGCGCGGCGCGGCGCGGCAGGCGGCCCCGGGCGGGCGGAGCGGCACGGGGAGCAGGCTCCAGGGTCCAATTTCCTAGTTTATAATGGAAAGCAAGCTCCATTTGCGGCGGCGGCGGGGGCGGCGGCGGCGGCGGCGGCAGAGGCGGCAGTGGCGATGGCGGGAGTGGTGATGGGGCGGAGGCGGTGCAGAAGGGAGGCGATGACGGAACAAACTCGCATCTCGAACCACCTTCACCTTCACCTTCACCTTCACCTTCACCTTCTTGAAGGGATACGGGGATGATTGTTGATTTAGAATGCGTTGGCGGTAGATGAATGGACTGCCTAGGAGGCTAACAGACCTCGAGTTAAAATTCGACATTCAGGAGGCTAGTATTGGGCGAAATGAGATTGGATATTATGGGGACTCATAGAGGTTGCGGCGGAGTGACATTGGCTATGTGGTTATGGAAGAGTAGACCTGTAGGAGGCTAATGGTAGTGATGGTGGATTTATCCGAGAGTCTAATAGTGGTAGTAACCGAGTTATTTGTTGGTGTAAAGGTGGTAGCGGAAGATAGGTTGAGGAGTTGGAGTAAAACTTGGAGGACCAGGAGGCCGGTGGAGGCATGCCTGGCGCAGATGAAGATGCTGGAGAAGGAATCGAGTAGACGGCGTCGGCGGTGGAATTGAGATTCTGTGTTATGTCGGAATGCCTTGCTTAACCGAAAGCAGTCTCTTGTGAGGGGTGGTTGAAAAATTGGGGGGCTGAGAGTGAAAGATGTGTCGTAGGTGGAAAAGGATGTGGGACAGAAGAAATGATTCGACGGAGGAAGAATAATAAATGAGGGCTAAAAAGGCGGATGGAAAACAATTGGGCTATGATGTTGCAGATGATTGTATTTCTGAGATTCGAAAATTGTCAAAATATTTTGTTTAACAAATATTTTACAAATATACCGATTGCCAAATGCTTTTTATTGAATTCAATCCGCAAGTGCTTAAAATAGACAATTATTACAAATTTTCTCTATTTTGTTCATCTCTGTATATTTCTAATAAAAGCCTGATACTTTTACTCCTTGTAAATAATTTATGGAGTAGTTAAACAATAAGTATCCGGTTTGAAAATAATTTTTGTAAATGCAGTAGCTGGTTCCTCAAAATTGAAATTAACAGTGATCATTCTGTATCTTCATTGTAATAACAAATGTTTTCTTTTCATCGTATCATCTATTCATGCAATCATTGAAATCAATAAGTCTCCTTGCTGTGACTTGTTGTAACGAAGAGGTCAGCGAAGGGTGAATACTTTGAATCTATATATTAAATTCCACGCCAAAATTCAGTCACCTTTATATTAACAAATATGAAATTTTATGGTTCGAAAGAGACTTTCGTTATAAACGAAGAAACGATCATTACTAAAAAAAATCCATATAAAACTACTCAGTTCAACAATCCCGACTTCAATAACTAGTTCGTGACATTCCCGACTCCTATAACTAGTGAGATTGCCTTGTGAACTGAAGTATTCAATTTTATTCCATAAAACTGCATTGAATTTTCTATCTACAAGCCCCAACCTTCAGAACAGATCCTTGTGTGTTAATTGGAATGGCCCACGTGTAGTTCTAAGCGAGAAGTCACTAGATTCGTTCGTTGGTGAGAGCGAGAACGAATGGAGAAGGAGGCACGAGATGAGGGTCACAGTCCGACTGAGGGTGGAACATCGAACGAAGTAGGAGCTCGTTGTCCGTCAAGGGCGCGCGACCGGCGGGGGAGGGAGGGACCTCGTGGCAGGCGCGCGTCGGGCGAGCAGCATCAAGGGCAAGGGCTGGGGCAGTGTTCGGCAGAGGAAGCGCGGGAGCAGGTGGTGCGGGAGGGTGTTGGAGCGAGCGAGATGAAGGACGAATGCGTGGTGCGGAGGCGGTGGTCGGCTGAAGAGGGTACGGCGGCGCGAAGGCGATCGATAATCGATGTAATCACATAAGTGAGCGTTCCGTAATGAGCGACATACTTGCTTACATGCTTGCGGTGCGAGAAGACGGATGCCAGACGTGGTGGACTCGCCTCCCTTCTTCCAATAGCCATGAGACCCAAGGCGTTCGGGCTTATAGGAAAATGCAGTCGGAAAAGTCCTGGGAACAAAACCAGTTGAGATAGGTACATTTTCCTTGGTCATGTCTGCCTCACAGGTATTTCTGAAAGATGTATCGGTGTATCATGCATATGTTTTTACTTTATCTCTCCTCAAATTCTTCGGATAATCTGTAATAAAAAATCGATCCAATACCTACTTTTTATTCACATTTTGTAATTCGGAATAATTTTAATTGATGAAACTCTTCTTATTGTCTATTGACAACTAATAAATCTAAAAATGTATGAGCAAATACTATATTTTCCATAAAACGTGTATGTACGTGCACGTTAATAATTGACAACCATCAGCATTGATTATTTATATATCAGTGCTATTTGGAATAAAATGATGTTTGAATAAAATGATGTTAGGTTAAATGATGTATAGGATCATTTACGGTGTTCATCTCGCAATGATTTCTAAATGTTGCATCGTCTGTGTTTTCGTTACTCGCAGATTTGGTTGCTCCATTTCTAAATTTTAACGTTCTTTATTACAAGAAATGTTATTGGAATTTAAGTTTAGAAATGAAAACAAATAAATATATACTTTAACTCTTTTCATTTAGTTATTTTGTGAAACTTCGTGTGTACCTGTTGTGTACTCCCCTCCTTTCTTCCTATACATTTTTCATCTTATAAATATAAAGTATGCCTATCAAGAGTTTGAACTTGCAACCAAAGAGAACCGAATAATTATCCACTTTTATTTTATTGAAACTATAGAGGAAACTAAAAGAAGTATGAGATAATGATCAATGGACAAAAATCAATCACTCAATTGCAAATGCGCACTAAAATTCAAATATTTATGCCAACATTGATATAACAAGCAAATGTTTCTTGGAACGTCTAATTGTTGACGAATACTTTGTTTTGGATATTTGTAATCCGAAGGCACTTGCAATGGTAAAAGTACAAAATTTGTGATCGCATTAACTTTACATATAAAGTAACTAATAACTACTATTAATGTTAGAACTTTGTTGTACGTCGATAAATCTGTTAAGACGAAATAAAGAAAAAAATCATCGAAATTAAATAGTGAATCCCAAATATTGAATCCAAATCAAGTGAATATCCATTTACATACTCGCTAAAAAGAGTAATGTACAGTTTTAAAAATTAAGTCTTAGTTTCTGAAGTAATACGCGAGTTTTACATTTGATATTGACGAGCTTTGTAAAAGTCAAGTCATTT